TGAGATAAATGCTTCTATCAGGGCTGCAGGAGGCTGCATCCCATAGCGAGACACCGAGTGAATATTATGAAGAAGAACAAAGTGATTTCCACTCATGCTTGGCACTTCGGGAACTAGGATGCTCAATGTATACTTTGATGTATGACCATAACAAATGAAGAGCCATATACGCAGACTATTTCTTAAAAGGTTTCAAGCTTTGGTGTCAAGCACTCAGCTAGTCCTTGATCATGGTCAGAATATAAATTGTAAGGCCGTGTTTAGACCAACAATAGCACTGCCTCAAAAAATGCAAGGCTCCTGATTCATGTTATTTCTGTTTCTGGTGCTGCTGGCCAGGGCTACATCAGCCGGAAGGACTTCAAACTGGACTTCCTGGCTTGTATTTTGTCTTCTGATCAGTAACTCTAGCAACACGCCCAAACACACATATCCGCTTACTTTATTTTTTGACGCAGTGCCATTGTTGGTCTGAACACCTCAGCATTCTGCATAGATATTCAGCAAGTGTGATGTTGCACACTGTCGATGCACTATATAGTAGCATAACCAGCACCTGGTGGAGCAGTACTATCTACACTTTTTCTTTGAGCATCAGACATGTGTGGTATACCAATGCATGCGTTTCCAGTATGGGTGTCTGTCTTTACCGAGTACCACTTGACTAATTCAAGGAGAGCGATGTGAGCAGTGTGATGCTGAAGCTCTTGAATAGCTAGAAGACATTCCTCAGCACTGGAGAGAGATAAGAATAGCACTCACTTGTCTCTCCTCTGTTGGCCTGCTAGTGTGGCTGTGGGTTGGTGAGCAGTGCTGCTCTGTTTAAGCAGTGCTGCTCTAGACATAAAGAATGGCAAAGGGAAAGAAGCGAGTGCCCTTTGGGTGCAGCAGAGCAGCCTGGCCTTGGATATATTTGGCTCTCTCAGTTTGCATACAGATCTGCAATGGTCTGCAATTAGGCTGTTTCCTGTTTCAGTACAGGATATGGCAGTGCTGTGAAGCTTGGCCATAGATGCTCTCAGGGAGCATGCTAGCCGGTAGCCAGGCCCTCTGAAAGAGATGCATCATTTTCATGGCTCTTAAATTACACAGAGCACGAAGTTACTTTGCAAGTGAAAAACAACTGGCTTACACTCAAAGTGGACAAAGTGGACATCAAAGGGAAAGCTGAGGGCTCTTATTAAGACCCACCTCAGACATACAGGCAAAGGGAGACATTAAAGAACACATTTTTGGCTAGAAAAATTGAGCTGTGAATTCTACTCAAGATGTTTGTACGGCTTTGATTACTGTGTTTATTGATCTATTCTGACATGTCTCCGTTAAGAGAGGCTGTAGTCAGTCTAAAGGGAGGTCCACGTTCACATTGGCCTCCAAGTACAGCCCCTCCCTACCTCGTACGAAGCACTGGAAAATATGAGTCAGCTACTTCCTCCTTCTCCCTCCCTATTTAACTTCCTGTTCTCCGGGCTGGTCGGAAGTGAGATGCTTTGAACGGGGCCTCCTGCGGGAGGCCGGAGTTACTTTCAAACCTTCAAACTATTGTAATATTTAATGTGCCACCACTGTCTTTGACACATGCTCACAAACTGAGATACATAGTACATCCTCTCATCACTTGCAGTGTATGTCTTCACAGTCTTTCTCCCTCTCCCCCCCTTCTCTCTCTCTGCAGCTCCCTCTCTCCCTCTCTCTCCTTTCTGTCACTGTATCAAGGTCACCTTTAAAAGACTAGTAATTTGCTGCAAAGATGTTTGACAGACTCTTACTGCCTGTAAAACAAACCGATTGTTGGTTGTATTTCTAATGCCTTGCTCTTTTTTTGTTATAGCTCTGATGGTACTAGCTGAACAGTGACCGCTTCCTGCCTGAGGACACCTGCTGCCCAATTCCCTTCATCATGTCTGGGATGCACGTAAGTGAAGCAGACATTGTTTTGTGTTTTTTTTACATTTACCTTAACAGTATGCACATGTGGGCAAACACTTTTTTAATACTACCCCCTCTATATTTCATACAGCTACGCGATAACCATTATCTGCTACTGTTGGCTTAGGTAGACAGGCAGGTCGGCCAGCCGATCATTTTATTTTGGCCTGAATGATATAATAGGCTGGGCTTACTACAAAATGCTTTTGAAATACATTACCTACCCTAGCTTGAATCAATAGGTCTAGAAAAGTTGAGTCTTTTAATGGCTCAGTTTGACAAACCAACTATCTAAAACCAAAAACTGTTCAGTTTATGATAGTATAAAGCAAAAGCACATTGAAGAAGCTGGAAACAGCGAATTATGGTGAAGAGTTTTTGCTGTGGAATAAATTATCAAAATACTTTTTAATACATTTTCATATGAATTAATTTATCAGCAGATTGTTTCAGCAATATGTTTCAGAAACGTTGCACTTGTTAAGCAGAAAAGACAGTTCCCCACAGATACTGGGAGGATATGGGAAAAAAGATAACCTCGATATATATATTGTTAGCCGCCAGTATTTCAAGTATACTGGGATATAACATTTTGGTCATGCTGCCCAACCTTAATATCATCTTGTAATGTGTGTGTCAGTTCCACTGAGACTACTTAGGTTAACACAGAAATGTGAGCGTACATGAACACGTAAAGGAATCCATGCAAGACATCAAGGTGGTGAAATAATGTATTAATGCACATAGCTGGTGTGCACACATCTATCAACGTGTCTGGCTCAGTTTTAGTGGTTTTTACATTTCCCTTCTGTCTCAGTGGTTTAACTAATGCCTCTCAAGTGCTAGCGTCAGAGTAGGACTCATTTCACTACTGCATCCTCTGCTTGCCCATGTCCCTATTGATCCAGGTTGCATTTATCTGTCACTCCACTTTGAATCTGTTGCAGTCATATGGAAGTGTAATCACCTAAAATGAGAGAATTAGATATTTTCCAGCAGGAGTCAGGTTGTAATATATGCATTGAATTCATTTTCCTTATGCTTTGTTAAGATAAGATACGATAGGGGCAAAGTACTGCAAAAGAGAATAAAAATATCACAAGATAAAATATTACAAAATATAATAGAAAATATAAGACATAAAAATATATAAATGAAAGTATATACACTATGCGTTGTTCAAGTAGGAATGGTGTGCAAATATATGAGCAGAAAATTAAACTTGACTAAAACTAAACTGTACA